CTGAAGAGCGGCGCGCACCAAAGCGGGGGAGGGGTGCAGTGAAGAACTCACATAATGCTCGAGACTGTGATCTGCCAATGCAGGGAGGGAGGGGGAGAGAGAGGAGGGGAGTGGTGTCAAGTTGCAGGAGAGAGGAAGGGGTAGTGGAGGAGGGAGTGGCACGATCCGGCTGGCTGCCCTGTAAGCCGTGCGTGCTCTGCACGGGGGGAAATCCGGACATTTACAAATTCCCCCCGGACGCTATTTTTAACTGAAAAAAGCCGGACATGTCTGGGGGAATCCGGACGAATGGTAACCCTAGTCACTGGGCAGATCCAGACTAACTGGGGTCTGGATCCCAAGGCCCCTGCTGGATCCCCCTTTTGCCACGGAATTGCACAGCTCCCTGGAAATGTGGGCGAGCCCCCGGCTGGGGGTAGGAGAAAATGACTTCCCCCTCCAACACCTTGTAATGCTTCTCTCAGCCCCCTAGCCCACTGTCAGTGTGGCTGAGATAGCTCAGCAGGGGGACCCCTTCTCCCCTTGATTCCCCATGCCCCTACCTGTGGTCACTCACCTGGGAGCCCCTGGGCTGACATGAGCTCAGCGCATCTCCAGGCACCTCTCTTACCCCACCCGCCTGGTGGGGGCAAAGGTGGATCTGAGTCCCTAGCAGGAGGTGCTGGCGGGCAGCCAGGCCCATACACTGGACACCCTGCTGGGGGAAACTGGGGAGGAGCTCTGTGTCGGAGGGGAGGGGGGGAAGGTCAGAATTAAAGAACCACATCCCCAAGGGGTCAGAATTAAAGCCATGGGGTGTGGCCCTCTTTGGTGTGTTCTGCCTCCATGGAATGGTAGGGGGGGAGCAGTACCTGCCCCCTGGTGGGTGTGGGAAGGTGGGGATCCCCAGGCAGTCCCATGGCCTTAATTCTGACCCTTCAGGTGTGTGGTTCTGTCAAGGCTGCTTCCCCACTTTGAACTTTAGGGTACAAATGTGGGGGCCTGCATGAAAACTTCTAAGCTTAACTACCAGCTTAGATCTGGTCCGCTGCCACCACTCCCAAAATGATAATTCCCTTCCCTGCGTAGCCTTGAGAGACTCTTCACCAATCCCCTGGTGAATACAGATCCAAATCCCTTGGATCTTAAAACAAGGAGAAATTAACCATCCCCCTCCTTTCTCCCACCAACTCCTGGTGGATCAAGATCCAACCCCTTTGGATCTTAAAAACAAGGAAAAATCAATCAGGTTCTTAAAAAGAAGGCTTTTAATTAAAGAAAAAGGTAAAAATCATCTCTGTAAAATCAGGATGGAAAATAACTTTAAAGGGTAATCAAACTTAAAGAGCCCAGAGGAATCCCCTCTAGCCTT